CGACATGCACTTCTTTGCGTCTGCCCTCGTCGCCTAACAAGTTTCCAATACGATGCATCAAGTTGACATCAAAGGTTGCCCCAATTGCCGTTGCAGATGGCAATTGGTACCCCGGTGGCTGTATAGTAGGTAAGCATTAACTCAGATGATGCCCCGGATACATAGGCTTATCAGTATTTGGTACGTACGGGATTGAAGAAGCGGCCGCCGCCACCACGTAGGCCATGTGGGCCATCTGATGTCTAGACCTCAACAGTTAGAGTCCAAACAGCTATTAAACAATATTTAGAAAGGCTTACGTTAAGGCTGGGTATATTCAGCCTCTGCAACCCAGACGTACGACAAGCACCGGCTCCAGAGAGCAGGCCAACCTTTTCTGGTAGTGAAAGCTGATTAACAATGCCGTCAAACTTGTCATCAGTAAGACTTGGGGACAACATTCTGCAACGTATGTGTGACGGCAGCTTATGTAGAAGCGGCGAGAATTTTGCTAACAAATGGGACTGGTTTGATTTGATAAAGTGTTGTTTATATACCCCTACCGCGGTTATCATTCTGTGGTAAACATCTAGAAACTAGTGAGGTCGAATCTTATTACTAGCGCGGTTGTAGGAACTCAAGATACAGATTGCTTAATTTGCAGCCTTGTACTCGATAACTGTGCTATGTTGTATTTCTCCGCGGACAAAGCCCATTATGCATACTTCCGAGGAGCTATAGAAATAAGGCGGGGCAAGTGAATACAAGGTTGGGAGGGAACCACAGTGGTATGGGCCCTCCAAATAAAGTGATAATGCACAGTAGATTATTTTAAGACAGAATAACAATGAGTCGCTTTGACACTTAAGTTTCCCGATATTGTAAACTTTCATTTGAAACACACCTATATCATATCCCGTGTATTTCGCTGTATTTGTTTCACGGCTGCCAGCTGCTCATTTCATCTGAAGCCTTTGAGTCCAGCCTACCTAATATATCTAGAAGTTTAACAAAATAATTCTTTGCACGTTCTTGTATAGTCTCATTCTCAGGATTGAAAGTCATCTCAAGCAAAACGCTGCCAACTACACGAATCCTTTGCACCTAGAACTAAAATCAGCAGCTGGCCCGTCCTAGATCCACAGTGGCTACTAACTGTTGGCTCTCCCTTGACTTGGAGATAAACAAATGGAATATCCTCTAGTGTCTGAATGAAATCATAAATTATGCCGATCTTCGCCATTGCTATAGTAAGAGCCAGGCCATTCAAACCTATAATATCCCAGGCCTTGCTATTAATGCATTGTTGCAGAATGACAAGCCTTAAACATTGGTAAGTTACCATGATCGTGCATCGCTGAACCCAGAACATAGTTCTTTGACATTGGGTGGCCCTTCCGTCTTCACTACAAACAATAAGACTAGAGGTCTGTAGCCACTGTGGAAGTTCATCAAGAATGCCGGAAAATACCACGTAATCTTGTATTAGTCGGGTCTTCATCTCAGCATCCTCGTCTACTCCTCCATATGCCTTTATATCAGAGAGAAGGCTGGCAGCCGTAGACCAGAGGCGAGGAATAAAATGGAATCCTAGTAGAATCTTTCCTTCTAATGTCTCTTCAAACCAAGGACTGGATGTGCTCATCAGTGGCACCATAGTTTCTCCGCTTAAGCGCAAGGTCAGTTCTTCGCCAAACAACATCTCATGAAGCACAAACGGACGGCTGCCTAGACAGGCTGACGCTTTGTCTGCTGCGAATAATTGCCAGAAAGCATTTCGAAGTAGTTGGGCCTGAAGTGCATTATGGCTGCTCAAGGCATCTTCACGATAAAGACGCATAGTTTGAAGTAGCAAAGTAGCTTGCCCGAGGATATGGTATGCCAATGCGCTTTTCCCAGTGATTTGTTGCAAAGCTGTAGAGTGCAATGATCTCGAAATAATTGAAGTGGCACATGGGTGTTCGATATCAAAGTCCTCGAAGACCTTTAGCATATTTCGGGAAGCCTTGAGACATGGCTCTGCGAGAGCCTCCTGATACGGGAGTAAGGACTTGGGCAAAACAGACGCCACCGACGCGCATACGGCGGTGAGCAGAGTGAATGCCCTCATGTCTACTACTTTGTCCCCCCAACTACCTGTGCCAAACAGTTGTGCGCTAGAATCTTCCGCAAAGAACTTGTTGGCGCTTGCCTGAAGAGTGGGTTCATGCACACATGGGGCCGTTGGAAACGTGTATTTCATGTAGAGTTCTATACAGAGGTTGATGACATTAAGAGCAGGAATAGATGGAATTGAGCAGTTCATCGACTGCACCAAACTATCACGGATTGCTCCAGCGGATTCCGTTGTTGGCACGATTTCTGTACCGCTAAAAGATGGGGTGAGGTCTTCGTGTCCTTGCTGCCCTTGGCTATCTGCCCAAATGGATGGAGTAGGCGGGAACATCGGGCCCTCATTGGAAGGCAAACGGTCCTCCAGGGCAGGAGTATATGCATTAGGCGTGGCTTGACGTGCTTTCTCTATAGCCCTCAGTGCCCTGGTCACCTTGGGGCCCCGCTTTCTCCGCGCAGAGGTGTATTGGCAAGGAAGACCAGAAAGTCGGCAATTGGAGCAATCCTCTGATGCCTACGTTTACATTAGTAGCCATTAGAACAGCTACTGGAGCACCTACATCACATTTGACCTTACGCATACGACACGAATCACAAGCACGAGTAACCGTCGACCCTCTTCTAGAGGCCATTGAGGAGAATGTCCGCGGAGAGGGAAGGAATAGAGGTTGGTGCGAAGTCGGACAAATAAGTAGAGACTGTCGGTCCACTTAAGGAAGGGATCCTTTAATAAATGAAATAAGCGGCAGAACGGGATAATCTAGCTCATCAAGGTGACTCTAAATGAACCAAGGAGTCGGCGAGTGCGTAAGCCTCTTAGCGTTGAGCAAATTTGGTTGGACCAGAGTTGCCGCGGAGTAATGCAGCCGAGGAGGGGGTAGCAAAAGTTGTCCCGTCCAGCCTTTGCTTTTAGTTTGGTTTGCCCTGTCGGGCTAACCCACTCGAATCGCCGAACAGTGAGAAAATAAGCATACAAAACACTACTATACTATACGAATTACAGCTGCCCCAGAGTTCATGCGACCCCGCAACCCCGGATTGTTTTGGCTCTAGACTATTTTGTCCCCATATTTGTTGTACCTAGAACCGCCCAAGTCTGCAGACATCAGGTGCTTTCGTAGACATCTTCATCGGATATATATAAGATGTCAACTGACCCTACGTGAATACTTTCTGTCTCCTCACCACGGCAACTCCTTTCTCCTTACGCTATTCGTGCCAGACATTTCCTTTTACGGAACCATACAGGATATAAATTTCTCATGGCGGCCAACGAGAAGCTTGACGAGCGCATTGCTCATGACGAACATTTGGGCAACATCGGAGACGACGCCGTCGTAAATGCCATGGAGGCAACTAGCATTGCCAATGGTGCTATTCAAGCCACGTACCCTATATTTTCTCTAAGCATGATGCGTCTGTATGGTTGCTTGTTGATCGGTTACCTTTGTGCAACTATGAACGGCTTTGACGGTTCTGTTATGGGGTTTGTAGCCACGCTCTAATTTCAACTAATACTCTCATTGCTAATATAAATTCCTAGGGGGATCAACGCTATGGTTTCATACCAAAAGTTTTTCAACATGTATTTCTTCCTTACCACTGTATGCCTTGTCACATTATTAATACCATTACAGGGTGAGCGCGTCCTCGAGCACTGGCCTCATTTTTGCCATCTACAACGTCGGTACGTTCAAAGTAGTCTGTGAATGAATCATGAAATACGTGACCGCTAACGCTTTCAAACAGGGTCCGCATGTGCTGTACCATTTGTAGGGCCTGTGAACGATTACTGGGGCAGGCGTGCTGGTATGTTTACCGGGTCACTTATTGTCGTCATGGGAACAGCTATTACTGCGTCTGCAAAAAACCATGATATGTTCATGGGAGGGCGATTTGTTCTTGGGTTCGGGGTTTGCTTTGCAAATGTCAGCGGACCCATCTATGTTGGGGAATTGGCTCACCCTGCATTTCGTGGGCCTCTGTCGGGAGTTTATAATTGCTTCTGGTAAGCAGGCTTAATTCTCTGTATTAATTATCAACAGTTTGCACATTCTCATAGGATATGAAGCTAATATTACATTGATAGGTACATTGGTTCAATATTGGCTGCATGGGTTGTCTACGCTGCCCGGGACAAGCCCAACGGGTGGCGTATTCCTCTATATTGTCAACTCATCGCTAGCGGCCTGATCGCCCTATTCGTTTGGTTATTACCTGAATCTCCACGATGGCTTATAAGCCACGGACGCAACGAATCCGCACGCGCTGTCTTGGCCCGTTATCATGGTGAAGGTGATCCTGAACACCCCATTGTTAAGCTTCAAATGGCAGAAATGGAATATCAAATCTCGACTACAGGATCCGACAAGAGTTGGTGGGACTATAGGGAGCTATGGGATACTCGGTCTCATCGTCGCCGCTTGGTACCTGTTTTGACAATGGCCGTATTCGGTCAGTGGTCCGGAAACTCAGTCACCAGTTACTATCTGCCAGTGATGCTTGAAAATGCTGGAATCATATCCCAGCAGAGAAAGCTTCTACTTAACGGTATTAACGCACCTCTCTGCTTCATTGCTTCATTGGCAGGAGCTATGTTGCTAGACAAGGCTGGAAGAAGGCCGCTGCTTATGTCTTCACTTATGGCCTGCATTTGTTGCTTTGTCATCCTCACTCCGGTTTCGAAGCTGGCCAAGGAGAACCCGGATAACTCAGCTGCGGCAAATACTAGCATTGCATTCATCTACCTGTTTGGGATCGTATTCTCCTTCGCTTGGACCCCGCTTTCTCCAATGTACGTCGTGGAATGTTTAGACACACCTACGCGTGCAAAGGGCAAGTCATTGGCCCAGTTCTTCACAGCCTGCTCCTCTGCTATTATCCAATACTCGTCTGGTCCTGCGTTCCAGCATATGATGTACTACTTCTATATCTGCTTCATTTGCTGGGATGTCCTCGAGCTCATAGTCATCTATTTCTTCTGGCCAGAGACTAAAGGACGAACACTCGAAGAACTAGATGAAGTGTTTCAGGCGGATAATCCAGTCAAGATGAGTCTCCAGGCTAAGAACGTCCAGACCGTGCTCAACACGCTCCATGTCGAGGCAAAATCTGTTTCTGTCTAAGGGGCCTGAGGAGAGGAAGAGTCTCAAGTCATTTCAGTCACAATGTGCCGAACAACTTAGTTATGCTACAAAAACTTCCCTCAACTGCAGTTCAATATACTCGTAGTATAAACCTGAACATTATTATTTGGATTGTTGTCTAATGTTTTGAGAATTTTTTTATAACTACTACCAACCACGAGAACGCAACAAGTAGCATACAAGCTTGGGTGCAGTGCAGATCCTCAACGAAATCAATCGACAGCCATCATGACAGACGTTACTATTCTAGAAGCGACGAACTTAGGAAGATCTATAGCCAGTCTTAACAACAAAATCAAAGTACGACGGTATTTGCTAGTATTCCCAACCTATCTTTAAAACAAGAGAAATCTATGAGTATTTTTCCCTGCCCAACTGCTTCTACGATCGGCAAGTCGTAATAATGTGATTAATGGGACGGTTCAGTGTGCGCTATAACATTCATTAGGCGTATCACACTTGCATGTACATTGGAAGCGATGTTGAGGGGAAGTTTATGACGTGAACAAAGCTCGATAATAGTTTCTTGTATCTTCATTCTAGTTCAATCTCAAACTCAAAATTTCCTGGTTTCAATGCGTACTCTTTCCTTGTCTTCGGCCCACAGCTTCCAGAGCCAAGCCCATGATGATCTGAATCGAGCCTTAGTACGACATATTCTTTCTTCTTCTCCCTTAGATCGTGTGGATGTTTAGATTCGTACAGATCTTTCCACGTATAGTAGGTAGCCGTAAAGCTGAAGCCGTCTTGTTTCCCAAACTTCGCTTTTATACTAGCCTCGCCGGAGTCAAGCTTTACCCATCGCACATCGGTGCGGTTCGACCCCTCCTGCGGGAATTCATAGTTTGTGAAGAGGTTTTCCACAGTAGAAGTCCAATTCCCAAAAAGCTGTGAAAGCTTCTTGTCCTTGTAACTCTCTCCTGGGCCACGGCCAAACCATTCGACTTTATTAAAGGATTGTGGTAGACCCATTGTGAATCCAATGCGAGGTAGCGTGAGCGGAAGGGTCTCTCCTCCTGGGTTGCCGCTACAATGGATATTTAGTGAACCGTCGCTCTGGAAAGTATATTTCGTTGTGATATTAATGTACCAAGACAAAGCCAGCGGCGCAAGCCTGGTTTCGACAATGACCCCAATCGAAGAATCCGAAGCATTTATAGACCATTCCACCGATTTTGTGTATCCTTTGCTTAGATGTATGAACTTCTCCTTCCAGTCTACAGCATCATGCCGGCGATCATTGTCTGTCTCAGCGCGGTTGACATCAAATTCGGGACCAAGGCTTGAGTGGAAAAGCTCGGTTGTATACTTTTTCCAGGAGATAACCTTGCCTGATATGGTTGAGAAAATCCATGTTGACTCTGCTGCAGCAATGATCAAAGTAGTGGGTGTTTTGTGGAGAGTTGGTGGCGGCATATTATCTGCTGCGTCTCTAGACGCTTCTTTGACAGGGGCACACAGTTGAAGTTGCGAAGACGATACATTATGGACCCTGTCTGCCCATATGGTTGCGTCTTTCAACGTAAAATTAAGTTCAAGGTAAATCTCTCCTTCGATTCCAAAGGTGTCCAACGGTGGCAGTGCCAACTCTGCCGTCGTATGAGGATGAATATCTGTTGGGATGAGAATCTCTCCAAGAAACCTTTTGTGCCCATCCGCAACTAGGAACCCGTGGCATTTAAGGTGATCCAAGGTGACAAGATCGTATCGATTCACAATCGTGACTTCTCCACCTGCAATACCCTTAAGCTGCACTGGCTCTATCGCTTTCTTGTACTCGACCAGTCCTGGTGTCGGTGTATGATCAGAAAAGCACATCCCATCTAAAACAAAAGTAGAGTCATTTGGTTCGTCATTGAAGTCTCCTCCATAGGCGTAGAATGGGCCACTGTTTGGGGTGTTGGCCGTCAGTCCCTGGTTCGCCCATTCCCACGCGCAGCCACCCTGCAAGCGAGGATATTCATAGAAGGTGTCGATGTATTCCTTTATATTTCCCGGCCCGTTTCCCATTGAATGGATGTACTCGCATAGTATTAATGGCTTTGTGAAGTTGGGCTCTTTGCCGAAACTAATCAGTTCCTCAATACTCAGGTACATCTTCGACAGCAGGTCAACGGTTTCTCCCTGTCTATCTCCTTCATAATGGATAGGCCGGGTAGTATCAAGAGCTCTAATGGCATCGTACATAGATTTAATATTGCACCCATAGAATGCTTCGTTCCCAAGAGACCACATCACCACCGAGGGATGATTTTTGTCTCTCATGCACAGTTGTACTGCGCGGTCAACATGTTGACCTTTCCAGGCAGGGTTGTCAGTAGTGAACCGTCCTGGGCGAGTGTAGATTAGATTTATCTTTTCTGCATACGGCAGTTTCTTTTCGTCGTCGGACAACATTAGCTTATCAATAGCACTGAAGCCATGACATTCAAGGTCTGCCTCATCAATAACCCAAAAGCCCAACTCGTCCGCGAGACTGAAAAATCTTGGGTCTGGGGGTTGATGAGCCGTCCGGATAGCATTGATATTGTATTTCTTCATTAGAAGCAAGTCATGTTTCATGAAGTCGTAAGGAACCGCTCTACCATGCATAGGATGATGCTCATGCCTGTTGACACCACGCAAGACAATTCTCTTGCCATTAACCTTAAAGATTCCGTCTTTGATCTCCACCGTACGAAAGCCAACATTCTGGGCGATGAAACGACCGCCAAAAGAGAGAATAAGCTTGTAAAGATAAGGGTCTTCTGCACTCCATTTTTTGGGCTCGGTCATCGCGATGTTGAAAACGGTTGGATGGTCACTGCCTTGCATTGACTCCGTAGCGATGGTAACTCCTCTCGAGTCGAGAAGCTTGAGGTCGATTAAGCCCCGACCCTCCGTGGTGACCTTTACTTTGAGATACGCATTTTTGAAATCGTCATCGAGTAGTGTTTGAACTTGAAAATCTTTTATATGATCTTTTGGGAACGCAAGAAGTAGTACGTCGCGGAAGATGCCACTCATTCGCCACTGGTCTTGGTCTTCCAGATACGTGCCATCACAGAATTGATAAACCCGTACAGCTAGTACATTCTCCTCCTCCATCTTGACTGTAGACATGATATCGAACTCTGCGGGGTTTCGGGAACCTTGCGAGTAACCAACCATAACACCGTTTACATAGACGTGAAATGCAGAATCTACACCTTCAAATCGAAGCCGTAGCTGTTCATCTGTAAAGGTTGTTGGTACACTGAATTTCGTAACATAACTGCCAGTCTCATTGGCATCGAATGGCACGTTTGGCGGATCCACAGGGATGATGTAGTTGATATTGCTGTAATGAGGTTTACCCCACCCTTGAAGCTGCCAATGACCTGGAACTCGAATATCTTTCCAATTTGTTGTGTCATTTGTTGGGTTCTCGAACTGACCGGGTGCCTCAAAGGGGTTGGCGCTATGATGAAACTTCCACACGCCGCTCAAGTTGATCGACTGCGACAGATCTCGACTGCCGTTGAGAGCACTGGACTCAGTTTCGTACAGGAAAAAGTAAGATCGTGGGGGAAGCAAACCACGATGTATAACATCTATATTAGACCAGTCAGGCCTCGAAGACGGAAATCTATTCGCCATGGTACAGGAGAGAACAGGGAAGACACGATCTGGGAATGCTCAAAATGACCCTTCGTAAAATCTTGCAAGTAATGACCACCAATTTTGTAAGTTGAAGAACATTTAAGTAGCTGTGGTAGAAGTCAAGGCCGAGTTTGATTCGAATTACTCATTCACGTGCTAGAAGATGCCGACTAGACTCTTCGATGTCGTTTACATCCCCATAGCGATCAATTCATTTTTAGCGTTACCTAAAGGGTGATGGGATGTTGATATCAATGGAAATTTCCCCGCGGAGGGTCGTATTAGACCGCTCGAACGACTTCAATTTTTCCGAGATCAAAAGCAGGATTAAGTTATGTAATAGGGGAGTTAAATATAGGTTCTTGATTTATTTTCGTCCCAAGATGAGAATGTATGCTCCTACCCCGGAGAATTAAGCTCGGAACTTACGGGTCCCATAGCTGGCAATCCCAATCAAATGCCCACCCACCCCATAATTACTCCGCGGCGTCTTTTCGCTGAGCGGCTTACTAGCCGCAAGAGGACGTCGACCCTACACCCCAACGGGCATAGTTGGCCTTGACGGCGATCACCAAGCGGAAAGTCCACGCCTTCACCTCCAGCTCCAGCAAGCCTGTTGAGGAAAGGAGACGAGATAAACACTCATCGGAGGGTTTCTTTTGAAGAGACACTCCATAATATAATTCGGCCTCAAGAACTAAACTATACAATTTCGACTCTCCTTTTCAAAAGTCTACTCTAAACCCATTCGTCTTTTATTCCAAAGAAAAGACTGAAACCTCTGCAATCATAGTCCGCGCAGGTATCGTAATAGGAATGGGAATATTCCCTGGGTCCGGCTGATCATTTGGCATATTGGCCCAAGCCCCACTGCGCGTCTCGTCCCCATTTAACCTCCGCTCTGTGCGCAACATGCCTGTTACTTTGTCGACCACGCTTTTCTCATCAAATCGTAGTATGCCTGTAAGTGTAGATCTCGGCGAGGTTGCCTTAAACTCTACCTTGAATCCCCATCCGACAAGCAGAAACCGCTCACTCTCCAACTGGATGACAATGCCAGCACCAGGGCCTGGCGTACCAAATACAAATGCTCGACTTATTTTCAGGTCATACTTTCCCATACGTATCGCTCTTGGAGGGTTCAAATCGCTCCCATCTTCTTGTAATTCGTCGAAAAAGAAGCCAACCATTGAGTTAGGGTTCCGTTGTGCTTTGAGGACAAAATGCGATATCGAATCCAGCAGCTTATAGTGTTTGGTGAAAGGTGAGTTGACCGCTTTCAAGGTATCAATGCCAAAGGGGCTCGCCGCTAGTGCTTGATAAGTCCCAAATGCTTCCCAGATTCTTCGCGCTCCGTACTCGTCTCTCCGCTGTTCTGGGATAAGTAGCGGCTGACCACGATGCCTATACTTTGCCAATGTAGCCGAGTAATCGTTAAGGTAGATATCTGGTGCAATACAATTGAGAGATGGTGCAAATTTTTGCCATATGTCAAGGACCTCCGGTACTCCTCCTCCTGAAGGATACACTCCAGGTGTACCTCCACCTCCTGCTACAGCATCAGCATTTGGGTTTTTTTGCCATACGTTCGTAAAAAATGGGATGTCGTATATCTTCTTCCCCTCGGAAGCTATTTTTTCCAGATAAAGGGCATAGTGATACGCCATAAAAAGCTCATCTGTGGCCTCCGAATCGCCAAAGAGGGCCTTCCAGTCTGGAATGTCTGGACTCGATGCATACTTCTGAATCACCTTTAGGATACCAGGAAAATTGTTTTGGAAGTCTGGGAGCAAGGCCTCCCAATCCTCTGCAATGAATTTGACAATTTCACCTGGCACGGGCGCGTTAAAGATGTCATTTGCCACCTGGCTACGATCTCGGGAATCGCCTAGAAGTCCAACCTCGTTTTGTACTTGTACCATGATCACAGTGCGGTATCGATCTTCTCTCTTCAGGTATTCCATCAGCTTGGCAAATGCTTTCAGGTCGGCCTCAAGGCACTCTGAGTGAAATATCGATAGCACGCCAGAGTTTGTCAGTTTTCCGGTATCTCCCTGTAGAAGCATTCTAGGAAACCGAATTGCGTCTTTTTTAACCCAGCTTGGTGCGTATGTAGACATTCCTGTTCTACTGTTAGAAGTAAACAATCTCAAGTGACAAAATAGGAGTGTACCGTTTTTAAAGGACCCGAACCAGAGAAGAATCAAACGGAGGCCGTACGCTTTGGCGCTTGCAATAACTGCTTCAATCTCATTGAAATCAAACTTTCCTTCCTCAGGCTCGATATCCTCCCATGTAACCGGACCGAAAACCGTATTAATTCCCATATCTACCAAATTCTTCCAGATACCATCCATGTATCTCGCAGAACTCATGGACGAATTTTGCAGCTCAGCGCCGAGGATCAAGAAGGGTTTGCCGTCTACCCAAAGCTGCCATGATGAGTCAAGCTTCTCCAAATAAGGGATTTGGGATGTTGTAGCTTCCANNGCAAATTTTGGGAAGTTCCATCTTATGAACGCGGGAAATCGTCCAGTTTGTTCTACCTTGCCAGCGCACTATCCTTTGAAGCCAGGGTGGTGCAACTGTGGTTGGCCCTAAGTGCTCCGAGGCAATAACTCGGAGTACTTGGGTCTAACCCACCGGAGTTTTATACAAATGTAGTGCGGTTGCTATTCTGTACCGCGGCTGTGTGGAGCCCTATGACCGTCACACGACTGTGGTTACAGTAGTACGCAGTCGAGCAACTACCTTTTCCTACGAAAGGTTGTAAAGCAGTGACGGCAGTAGATTAGTATAAAACTCTGGTAAGGTATGCTCATGCCAAGCGCTAATTGGGAGATCGGGGAGTTAGGTTGCAATATGTTGAAGGTCCGTTCCACTCGCACAATATGTCAAATCGATCCGTTAGGACATACAACAATAATTATTCCACTTTGTCATTCCGCCCAGCTAGTTCCGTATTGTACATCACGACAAAACACAGAATTCCCGGTCTCATAGCCATCCAATTCTCTTCGCAGCATAGCCCCAGCCGCTTAAAAAAGCAGTAGCACCTGTGAAGGCGATGAGTGCACCATAGCCGCTACCGTATGCCAACGCCGCGTTCCAATTACCTGAGTGCAAGAGAGCTTCCGAGAATGGACCACTGCATAAATTACCCACTCCCCTTCCAGCGGATAAGCATGCCCATACCATGCCAGAGTCCGCACCTCTGTGCTTCTCTATCGTGTCACGAACGACAGCACTCCAGGCACTCGATTGGCATCCAGCAAATACTCCATAAACGAGACAGAAGGTATAAAGTGTTCCCAGCGATGAAGAAAACCCCCAAAGTAGGATGACACCAGCGGCCGAGCCGATAGCGGAGACCAGTAGACAGTTAACAACATGATATTTATCAACTGCCATGCCCATACACAGGCACCCAAAGAACGCGGCGCCATTTATAAGGACAACCGTGGCTGTGCTTTCGATGCTGCTAGCACCAATTGAACGCGCAAAACTTGGGAGATAAATACCGGGAATAAAGTAACCAAGACTCTGGATGATGTTTGCCGACTGCAGGATCAGAAAATTTGAGCAAGTCCAGAATGACATGTCGAAGCTTCTCGATTGAGTTGTCTGTGAAAGAGGAAGTCGTGGTTTGAAGAAAAACAAGACCGGAAGGTTCAAGGCGACAAAGCTAAGGGCGCAGACGCGTAGAGTTGTTCGAAAGCCGTAAGAATTAAGTAGCCATTCTAGAACAACCGGAAGGATGGCACCGCTCAAACCCAGGCCTGCCATGGTTGTGCCATAAGCAAACCCTCGACGCCGCACCCACCACTCTTCGATGTAGAACAAAACAGGAGCCCAAGCCAGACCTCCGCCGAGGGCATAAATGATGCCTTGCGTGACGATAAGATGGCCCACGTTAGTTGCGAATGACCCAAGGCCTAATGCGAGACAAACGATGGCGAGGCCGACTGGCGTCGCCCACCTGCGGAAATTTGGAAAGTATTTCAGGACGGCGAACCAGATGCTAATATCCATATACATGATACCCTAGCTTCTCTATTAGCCTCAGGTGTCTTTCTAGTCTATTATGCAGACGTACCATAGCACAGGCCCCAACGACAGGTATGTTACTTGATCCAGCAAACTCGTCGCTAGTACTATAATATTCTTGAAAAACACCATAGCAGGATGGAAAACCTAAGTGAATTAGTCTTAAACACTTCTAAAAGGTAAGGGAATGAACCCCATATCAACGCCTCTAGCATGAAGCAGGCGAACAGACATAACCAGGCATCTTTGCCTCCATCAGTAGGAGACAGGGAAAACCCCTCATTGCTATTTGAAGGGTAGTCTAGGTCGTTTTCTAATGGTTCAACACCTGTCGCCGTTGCTGAAGACAGGCTCAGCGGGTAAGATGGCGTATCAACCTGGGCATCATGGCTTGAAGCCATTGTATCTGCGCGAAACAAAAAGAAGATTGTGTTGGGTAGTACAGTATTAAAGTGCAGTCTCGCCAATAATGCTTCTTATAATGTGACTTGATATTTATAACTGGCGGCATTAGCTTGTCAAGTGGAAGGCGTGCCGGGATAAGCAACGAGCGCCATGTGCGGGCCGCATTTGCTTGTCAGTTAAAAGGCGTGTCTGATATGTACGACCGAGGCTAACCGAGATCGCATCCGTCAGAAAGCGAAGGAGTGGTGTTTTCAAAGAACGTTGACCATATCTCTGAGAATGTTCACATACGACCATATGCTTAAGATAATTGAGAATCTCTTCTGGAGGTTATCACTGAATGAGACGGCTTGGTGGATTATGTTGGTGAAGCCGTGATTTCCTGAGAACGATAAAATAATTAGATAAAGGACCATTGAATTTCAAGGTAATTAAAGATTGATGCATCAACTTCAGGCTTTCCCGAGCTACCAAGCAAAGGAAGTTAAAGCCAAGCAACCAAAATGGAAGAGTAAGTAAGAGAAGAAAAATCCGTTTTATTATCCGCGTAGGAACGCAAGCTCATCGACTCATTATCACTACCGACATTTTGTTAAGGGGCATAATAAGTAACCCCATCAGATCGTACCAATGAGAGCATCCTCCATTACGTCCCTCCCCT